CCAGACCTGCTTGCACAGAATTGTCCAAATGAACTGGATACGCTCTGGTTTTTATAAAGCTAAGATGAAAGCCTTAGGTATCTCAAACACAGGAATGGAATAAACTTTTCAAATTTTATATGACTTATTTTAATCTTTATTCCACAAAATATCTACAGCACAAAGCAAAATGACACAATGTGTTCATTTAGACTTGAGAAAGAATAGAAAAATACACGTTGTATATTATAGTCACAAACCTCCTATGCATAAAACCTGTTGCCTTTTGGGCCTCCAATAAAACAAGCCCACTACTCTAAGGCTTGGTCCTCTATATGTAGAGCCGTCCATCACAAAACCACCACCCTTGTTGTAGCACAACCAGCAGTCACCTCTCACATAATACAGAGGAGTAAACTACCAAGGAGGCAAAGCCAACTCCCCTCTCCACAATGGCTGACTCTTCCAAGTGGTAATGAATATTACCAGAAAAATAACATGAGGTACTCACAGACCGGAATTCAGTAACTGTGTAGCTAACTATGTGTACATTATCTTTTGATAGAGGAACAAATACAAGGATTGTACTAAAAGATAATCCTATGTAATCAATCACTCTTCACGTGATTTTGTCCATCTAAATCCTCATGTCCATCTAAAACAATATAGAAAGTTTAGATTCCAGTATGTTTTCTACTTCTACTTAGTGCTTTATTAATGGGTTGACCACTTTGCTTGGCCTACTGCTGAAATTCGTCGGAACTCCAGGAGACCATATGGACAAGCAGATGGGTTGTGTAATTTAATGTCGTTATGCTAAGGATGAAGTAAAGGATAAACATAATTTGCATTCTTTCCCAACCTTCCTGCATACCTTTTATTACTTTCATTTTTAATTCAGACATCAGAAGGGAAGATAATACCTTGCTACAAAGGCCCAGATGCCAACTAATTACTACAAGAAACCCCAGCCCTGACATCACAGGCCAGGCCTCTGAACACACTCCATCTTACCCAGTGACCCCTCCGTGGTGATTAATAGGTTGAGTGCTAAGCCCTAATGAGTGTGTCAGATCTTGGATGTTCTCTAAGCTAATATAATTAGCAGTATCATATCAAATAGGGTATTTCAGTCACTTGGTAGAAAGATTCATACTTTATAGTAAATTATATGTCTTTTCACCTTATGGTCTTTGAATTTATTTTATAATCATCCATCTAAAAGGACTCTATAAATAGAGGTCTTTGAAATATTAAAAGAAAATTTTAATGTTTTTAAATCAAATATTTACTTTCTTGTACAACAGTAAATCCTTATATCATGCAGAAATTGTTTTCAGAAATGCTCGTTGAAATGCAAGTTTCTGGACTCTACAAACAGAAATTCTGATAAATGGGGTTTGGGGTAAGATTCAGAACTATGCATTTTTAGCAAACTATCCATGATTCACACGCAGAAAATCTGTGGACCACACTTAAAAAACAACACTGCCCCTTTAATAACGGGATCAATGTCTGTGTCCTGGACTAATTAAATCTATTGGACTTTTTGTTGTAAATAGTTGTTTCTGAAAAAATTATTTGCACTCACAGAGGAGGAATTGTTTTCATATTGAAATTACGGTTTTAAATGTGACAATCATATTTTGTTAAGAGATTAAAAACTAATTATCAAGAGAAGACATGAATATTATTTCCAGTAAAACACGTAAGTGTATGAGGCTCCCATTCAACAGTGGACATGGCAGAGAGTAACTTTCCTATCCCGTTGACAGTGGGCCTGGAATTGCTTTGCCACATCTAAGGGAATAACCAAGAGTAGCAGAATTTCTGTAATTCCTGGCTTGTTTCTGTGCCCAGAGATGACATTAAAAATGCCTGATGACTAAGGACCTTAAGCTAAATTCCAACTACTTACCTGGATCTCACCTAAATATTACCATCAATTGTTACATACTAAATAATTTCATGTGTCTGGTCTAGTATTGCTTTCTTAATACAACCAGACACAAATGCCCGTTGATCTTTAATAACATGTTTTATTCATCTATTAACCTAAACATCTGAGGTAGTTTTTTTTCCAAACTGATAACTATTTAACCAATCTCCCATTTTCTTGATGAATTTGAAAGGAGTTCTTTTTTTGTACTTTCTAACATTTATACTGAATGTATTAGTAGAAAAGAATGAATAAAATACAAAATCTACTTAATGATAAGTATATTATAGGTATTTACTTATAAACTGATACTGAGATTTAATGCTTTGAGAAATGTGTTTCAGACCTAGCCGGGTAGTGGAAGGAAGGCTGCCACCTGACCATAGTAAGTCTGTAAGCACATTCTGCTTTCACTGAGTGGGGAATGAGTGTTGGGGTATCAAGCTCTGTCTGACACTCACCAGAAACGACCCCACTTTGTCTCTTTTGTTAGGAAGCCTGCGATTCCCAGCAACCCCAGCCCCTGCCTCCAGGTAGGGAGGTAGAAGAGTTCTAACCAGTGAAATGTGTGCAGAAATAACTTTGTTTCCCTTCCATACCCGGCCCCTAAAATATCCCGCTGACTTCCATGCTGTCCGAATTCATTCTTTGTCCAGCTGGATGGAGCAGCTTTGGAAACTACAAAGCCTTAAGTGATGGCACAGCCACTGGGTAAAACAGCACTTGAGCACTTATTGCTTGAGCAAAATAAACTTGCATTGTGTTAAGTCACTGGGATGTTGAGGTTGTTTGGTTAAATCTAACAGAGTCAATTAAGGCTTCACTGTTACAAGTTATACAAAATTTTGCCCTGACTGGTGTGGCTCAGTGGGTTTAGCATCATTCTGCAAATGGAAATGTTGCTGGTTTGATTTCCAGTCAGGGTACGTGCCTGGGTTGCGGGCCAGGTCCCCCTGTAGGGGGCTTTCTAGAGGCAACTGATTGGTGTCTCTCTAGCACATCAATGTTTCTCTCCCTCTTTTTCTTCCTCCTGTCTCCTCTTTCTAAATATAAATAAATATTTTTGAAAAATAAAAAAGTTATATGAATTCCTTTCTTGCTTATAAATTCATCAATTGTCTACTCAACAGATAATTATGAATCTCTAGGATCTGAATTCCAAATTCACTAGACATATTAATCCACTAGAGGAATTGTTTCAAGTGTATTTAAGTGGTGGGAGGAACTATGTATCTTAACATTAGCACATTTTGGAGCTCAGGACAGGATGACTTTGTCACCTTACAAATTGTTATTAAAGAACATCTGACCTATGAGATAGATGAAGAAAACCCAAAACACAATATCCACTACTTCTACAGTCATCAGAAATGACACAGTTATCAACCTTAAAGCAACTGTTCAAAAAAGAATCTCAGAAAGTGATTTAGGAGTAGAATGTTTTCCTCACCCAGGGACATTATTTTCATCACTTTTTAGAAAGAGAGAAGGTCAGGGGAAGAGACATTGAAACATCCATGTGAGAGAGAAACATTGATTGACTGCCTCTAATAGGCTCACCAACTGAGGAGGGAGCCCACAACCTAGGTATGTGCCCTGACCAGGAGTCAAACCCATGACCTTCCGGTTTATGGAACACCACTCTGACCGTCTGAGCCACACTGGCCAGGGCTAGAAGTAGTGTTTTTCCTAACATACCCAAATAGCATTTTAAAGAGACCACTTGTCACTGGAACAAAAATGCATACATTAACCTAACAAAAAGGGTAAAAGAGACATATACTGAATTAATGTAAACTTGCTAGCATAAAGTGGAAAACATACACACACAGGATTACCAGAGGATCAAATGTTTGCGTTGGTGTGCAACAGGCGATAGCCTAAAGAACACTTATTATGTCATTAAACAAACGACTGTGGTGGGTGAAGCCCCTGAGTTAGGTCTGCAGGAAGCCGAGTCTAGATCCGGCTCTGTCATTTTCTGCAGGCAAAGAGGGAGCCGTGAGAAAGGCAGAAGAGCACAGTGGTGAAATGTTCGGGGTCTCAATTTCTATCTGCACTAATGAGCTATTTGGCTTGGAAGAACTATTTTTCCTATGTCCTATGTCCTCAGTTACAGAATGAAGAGAAGACAATATTTTATAGATTATGAGGAGAAATACACCATGTGACACATTTAGAGAGGCTTTAGCTAAAAGTTAATACTAATAAATATTGGATATGTTTACTAATGATGGAAAGTGAGGAATTGAAGTTGATGGTTTGTATGTGTTCTTTAAGCACTTATATTCTGAGTTTATTCTTGTCTCTTAAAGTCACATACACAGTTGAATAATAAAAACTCAAATATAAATACTTTAATTAATGACTTTAAAAAATCTATGAGACAGTTGGTGTGCTGTTGATATTGATTGAAAGAAGGGAGGTGACATAAAAATGCACTAATTAATTTATATATACATATATATCTTTTAACATTCAGAAATGATATGGTATTTCGATTTATTCATTAGCCTTCCTGAGTCATACCTTCGTTTAACATGAAATGTAACAAAATAATTGTCAGACAACCATTTTCATTTTAAAATGTCATATTTAATAAATACTACAGAGATAAAGAATTATTTCATAGCACAAACCTGAATGAACCAAAAAGGAACAGGATAACACTACACCTTTATAGCTGAAGGTGAAGTACTTCCTAAGCTTATAGATTGCCAACAACTTGAGTTTCTTTCTTATTCAGAAGAAAGCATTTCTACTAACTGTAGCAATGGTAAAAGATGATACTAACAGTGTAGTATAGACCCCATTCCAAATTAAACTTAAAGGTGCTTAGAAGTTCCAAAATGTAGTGAACCTTCATTTGCGAAGAAATCCCATTTCAACAATATCTAGTGAGACTCAGAATGATGTGAGTAGTTTAAGATACTGAATCACTAAAATTATTTTTAAAAACTCAGTTCTAATTATCTTCTTAGTTGATTTGAAGTGACAATAACATGACACTACATGTGAAACATTGTGGCGTGGAAGAATTGTTTTCTTAATCCAGAATTCTATGTATGGCAAAGAACCTTACCTCCTGCATACATAACAGCCAGCATGATGGATGATATCCATGCTATTTCACTGTAGGTAGTGTTGAATATATGCTGGATTTCTTTGAAGAACACTGTGATGGCTTTGGGGAAGGCGTATGAAAATCCAATGCAGATGAAAGATGCAACCACCACCACCCAGCCCCATCCTCCATCAGGAGGTGGATGCAGTGGTGCGCCACCTGCAGGTGGCGGCATTTCTGCTCTTCTCTTGGAATCTCAGGTAACCTACATTAAAGTAATGAAATAAAGCCTTAAACCATATTTTCCTTTTTATATATCACTCTTTATAGTCACTAAAACAGCATTTTCTGGTTCAAACTACAACTATATAATGTTTCATGAATATTTTTAATACTCTTGTACTTAGAAAGTCATCAGAAAATTTACCAAAAAAATTAAGTGAGGTATGTAACTTTGTTATGTGCTAGGACGCGAAAGCATTTAATTTGTTTATGGAAACAAAACGTACTTTAAGGGAAGTTAAGACTTCAGATCTGTATTGAAGTACTGGCCAAAGAAATGAAAGCTGTCTTGATCTGGTTTCTAATAATGAGTCATCTAAAGGGAGTCATCGCCACTTAAAACAGAATTATTTTTAAATCCAAATGTCTGCGTTTTTACACAAACGTTAAAAGGGACCATTTATTAAAGCTGATGAATTATAAAGAATTAAAGAGTACACACACATATTTTAGAGTTTCATTTTAATAACTGAGAGTACTTAAAAATATTTCAGTACAGATCTATTTGGTAAAACCGTAAGATTAGAAATTGTGTGGTTCTAATGAACTAAGTTTGTTTTAACTCACTTCTGAAATAGGTACTATTTCCTATCATTTTATGTATTTTTTGTAGCAGTAAAATTCTCTCAGTCAGATGGATGATATGTTATTGTTTATTAAAAGAAAGGTACTGTCTCTTCTGGATATGCCTAGGAACACTTACCTGCTAGCTTTATGGTATAGAACAACCACTCTCCAGTGAAAGCAATAATCACACATAATTTCATACAATTGATAATATGTTAAAAATATCTTTGTTCCCTAACATCAGTGTGCCTTTGAGTTCTGTAACTGTGCTGAATTTATTGATTAGTTCCAATCATTTATTGGTCAAGTCTTTAGGGTTTCTATAATGTAAGGTCATGTTACCTGCAAACAGAGACAGTTTTGCTTCTTTCCCTCCATTTGGATGCCTTTTGTTTTCTTGTGCAATTGCTCTGACTAGGACCCCAGCACTTAGTCAGCATGTATTCATTCTGATCTAGTCATTGACACACGCGGACACCATGAAAAGATGTGTGTCATCCGTATATTTACAGTCTGCATTTCTGATAATTTCTGTTTTCTTAGAAATAACAAAAATCATCTATTTCATGTGAAGTCAGGTTTCTCCTCGACTATCAGTTAACCTCACATGGTGGGTTTACAGCACGTGAGCATTGGAAATAGTACTTTCAAATAGCATAATACTTAAGAAAGAAAAAAAGAAACATTGTTCCTATTGGTCAAACCAGCCGAAAACAGCAACCTGAATCTGAATTTATATATTATTGAAGTTCGTTAGTATATTTTAAAGTAGTCAACTTTTTATTTCTTGAAAATATCTTTTTTTAAAACCTAGAATACTGGGGAAATACTAAAGGACATTTGAGTGGGTACCTAGTTTTTTTAAATTTCCAAAGTGTAAAGTCAATTATGAAATTTAAAGTCCTCATTGTGCAATTCTCCTGCTTGTATAAAGAAAAACCATATTCTGTTATCTATTCATGAGTTTAAACTATTGCAGTTTTTATTACAGGTGTTATAGTAAACACTTAAAATACAACTGGACAATCTATTTTTAGTCATTTAAAAAGTCAAAAATAACATTTCTAAATAATTTCCAATATATTTAAATAATTATATCCATGTGAATACTGAATTTACTGATACATAATTGTGTTATAAATACTAATATTAAAATTTACTAATGAGATAGGTTAATGTTGAGATTTCCATTTTGCAGACAGAAATTTATGCTCACAGAGAAGTGAAGGGGCCTTTAAAAATCATTATAGGATTGAGTTACTTTTTTCTTACACCTCTTTCTATTTTTGTAGGGTTATTTTTTATAATTCACCAGTTTCTTTTTTTAATATTTTATTTATTTATCTATAGAGGGGAAGGGAAGGAGAGAGGGAGAGAAATACCAATGTGTGGTTGCTTCTCATGTGTCCCTTGCCGGGAAATGGCCTGCAACCCAGGCGTGTGCCCTGACTGGGAATCAAACCACGATCCTTTGGTTCGCAGGCTGGTGCTCAACCCACTGAGCTACGTCAGCCAGGGCAATAATTCACCAGTTTCTTAATATATGATCTTTTGTTCTCCATTTCCAGCATGTTTCCTTAATTTTAATTATAACCACGTACTCCAGATTGCAAGTCACTACTCTTACATCTCTTTGTACTTTCTTATCTCCAACCTGCTTTGTTTCTTCCACATAAACTGAAATCTTGTGACTGCTTAACTAAATCATCGCAAAGTGAACCCCAAACCACTGAACCTTTGAAGATTTCTACTTTCAAGACTGTCTCCTGTTTCTTATTAACAACTCTTGAGTTAACTAATAGTCAAGGTCCAAATCATATTAATTCATTGGCCTCATGTTATTTTCCTATACAATTTATGGCTTTTATTCGTGGGCATAATCAAGAAAAACAGAGTTAAAAGTATTACTTACCTGTTGACTGATCCCCACTTGAACGGACTTCTTTGGTTTACACGTGGGACAGTTAGGCCCAGTCACTATTCCTTCAGACGTGCTATTTGAAGGTGACACAGAGGATGAGAGATAGAGCGGACTCCGGTTATCTAAAGAAACAGACATACAAGGGTTATGCGAAAAACCGAGTTCCACAAGCTTCATCGGATGCACCAGCTATAAGTCACCCCAATAAACTATGACCATCATTCAACATAATTAGCAAAATTGAATATACAGGGTTAGGCAAAAGGAAGTTTATTATTGTGAGTATGCAAAACACAGTTTATTTTTTGCCCTCCCCTGTCTATATACATATTTATAAATATAGATATATGCACACATATATTATATTTACATGTCTTTGTTCATCTGTTGATAGAACTTGTAAGGTATGAAAAATGATTAAACATGTGCCTGAGGAAAAATAAAAAACATAAAGTGAAGAATTAGTGTCTTAAAAATAATTAACAATAGATTACTTATCTACCAACATGAGAAGGAAATTTATTGGAATTCATTGAGTAGAATTCAGTTAAATAAAATATCCACTGTCAATGGAAATAAGTAAAATGTTTAAAAGAAAATTATTAGAAATACTATCAATAATACACATTTTACAATCAGACAAACTAGGCCATAGGAAAAAAAGCATTTTAGGCATTCTAAAATGCATTTAAAAAGCATTCTAATTCTTCTGATTTAGAATTCACACTTCCTAATCAAGTCTGGGTCACAGATGAACCTGCTAATACATAAAATACCTTTATTTCTTCTTAAATCTGGCAATGAGTATATGGCAGCTAGTATTTAAGAGTTTATTTGGTTTGGGCTAAGCATCCTGTGCTTAGATTTAGGGCTAAGAAAAAGTCAACTCTTGCAATTAAGTAACCAGTTGCCTGCCTTGCATCCAGGGCTGCCTGTCCTGGGGTGCCCAGTGAAAGCAAGGCAGCCACCGGGTCAGACAAGGCTGTATGAGAGGATGAGGAAAGTGTGTATTCTAGCTGCCAAGTCAATGAGGAACTGAGGGTAGCAACTAGAATGAAGATTGGTAACAATGAGAAAGCCATGGATAAAATCTAAGACATAAAGCTAGAATTAAAGTTTTAACTTGTGCTAAGTATGAGGAGTTATCCTAAACGGGTATCCTGGGGCTGGGATAACAGTAGTGGGTAAAAAAAGGCTCACATCCTTGGGGACCTCTGTGACCTTTTAAAGCTAGGTACCATGTTTTTAGACTATAGGACGCACTCCCCAATTTGGGAGGAAGGGGGTGCATCGTCTAGTCCCAGTGTTGCTTACCTGGCTCGCTGTGGGGGGGAAGGCAGTGGCCTGTGTTATTTATGTTATTAAATATTTTACTGCATTTTTTGCTTCAAATTTTTTTTCCTCCTCTAAAACCCAGGTGTGTTATGGTCTGGTGCATCTTACAATTCAAGAATGGCAGCTCCATTCTACCACAAGTAACCAGCCCATCCAAAAACAGAACCCCTTTTCTTTTCCTTTCTTCTCTTCCTTTTTCTTCTCTTCCCTTTCCTTCTTTTCTCTTTCATTTTCTTTCTTTCTCCTCCCTTCCTTCCTTCCTCCCTCCCTTCCTTCCTTCCTTCCCCCCTCCCTTCCTTCCTTCCTTCCTTCCTTTTTTGTATTTTGAGGAAATACATTTTCTCTCAGTTTCTTCTGGCAGAGAGAGCTGCCCTGAGTTCAAAGCAAAGCCTCAGAGAAAAGCCAGAAGCTTTCCTGAAAATTGGACTCTGTCCCTCCAGTCTGTGCTTAATTAATTATCTTGGTGGTTTACAGAAGCCCACAAAATAACAGAGATCTTGACAATCCACATTCTAAGTGCTCATCAACATTTCTACAACATTTTCACAGTGCCTTAACCTAACTGGCCTATTTTCTTCCAGAAAGATCACTCCAAATCCAGGTCTTCTTTCAACAAATTGGCCAATCCAGGAACTCTCTGCTTGATAGATATAGCAATGATAAACTATTTTCATCCCTTTCTTTACATCAATTAATATACTATATTTTATACATATTTATGCAGGTATAGTTGTACAATGTGTATACTGGCCTTTAGTTTTAAAAATAAAAGGCATTAGAATTTGTGTCTGACTAAGGGAAAAAGCAGAAGACCAGCAGTTCTTAAAGCAAGTTGAAAGGCTGTCCGTTAAATTGGGAAAGCAACTATTCTGGGAATGGCTTCCTGATGTACAAGGAGGCGTAAAGCTCATTCTACTCTTCTCTACCAAGGCAGGGTTAATTACTATGGTGAGGAGCTGGGCAGTGGTATCAGCAAATTTGGTTTATTTGTAATTCACTCATATCCCATTGGCTTTACTTATAACAGGGTGCATAGAGAAAAGTTTTAGAGTGTTCAATTATTTTCTAAGGATTCAATTAATTATCATAGTCCCCTAACTAAGAGGGAGTGGTGTTTTATAATTCACATTCATAAATGAGGGCCTAAAGACTCAGAGGTGTGGAGTGATTTTTCCGCAGTGATCAGATTGGTAGCATGACCAGGATCTGTTTGTCAGGCCCAATGTGACTCATTCCACTTTAACACACCAACTTGGAGGCTGCTCTTTCTGCTTACACATATACTCTTTCAGATTTACTTCCATGGTGAATTTCCAAACTCATGTCTTGCGTAAAACCTCACCTCTCTTGTCCACTGGAATTCAAACACTTGTTCTGTGGAATTCTAAATCCTACCTATCCTTCAAAGTCTTTAGAAATGCGTCATTGTTCCAGCGTACTTATATCTTTTTATAATGTCTTTGAGTATATAGAATACAGTATATAATTGCTGCTAATGAAAAGGTGACTTACTGGCTACTAAAAGTATTTGGCTATTTCAAGTTGTTGGGGAGGAAGAAACTTGCCTCTACCCTCGAGGTTCTTCTGATGAGTTTAGTAATCAAATGGACATGAGACAGATTAGCAGGAGATAATGACAAAATATAATACATGGGTAAGTATGGGAATCTGAAATACATGAGAAAGTCAGAGACCTCACATGCACAAGAGGGTCAGAGGTACAAAGGGGGATTGAGGTACTAAAGACATTCTGAGCTAGGGATTAGATCATGCACCCTGGGGGCTTCAAAGGGTGACTGCAAGATAAGAACAGACCTTCAGTGAATCCAAGTTTGCCCTGCTCTATAGATAGGTCAAAAGAAGTTATCTCCGATAATGTCTTTATGAGCAAGAATCCCTAATTCAAGTTCTTCTGGGTAAAGAAAGGGGCAGAAGTATCTCTTGAGCCTGTGACTAAGGTTGCCTTTAGCTCAAAATAATCTCTATCACAGAGGCACGTGTCGTGTTGGCTTGTTCTGAGCTCTTGTCAACTGTTTTTCAAAAACGTATGGGTGGCCTATACTGACACACTAGAACTCTGCCTTGTCTTCTAGAAATCAATGGGGGTTGATTGCTTTATGGAGAAGATGATGTAGGATAAAAAACTGATGAAGCTCTTAGTGACGGTCAACAGTTAGACTCTAGCGTGGTATTTCAGGGCCTTTCTCATTCAGTTGTACAAATATCAGAATGTTTCTTTACGTGTTTTATGAATAATTATTTCTTTAATTTCTAAAATCTAAATCAGGGTGCATCCATTTATGAACCCTTATAAATACTTTATGCCATTCAGCAGTTTATGTTTCAAAATACAGTCCAGAAATAATGTACTCAGCAAACTAGTCCCCAGTTCAATCAGTATTAAATCAAGTTGTTAGGAGACTTTTGGCTTCACCGTAAATCCTTCTAGATAGCCCACAGATAAAGCATGAGTTGTTCTTTACAGCCCATCTAAAAAATGGCCTATCTTTTCTCCTAAAAGGATAAATATTTCCTTAAAGAATAACAAACTGGGTATTTTTTGCTATTTCCTCTTTCTTCTATAAAAGAGTATAATGATGTCAATTAATACACAATGTTTAAGTTTAGATGACAACTCACCTTAATTTTATAACAGGAATTAAACTAAACCAAATATTTTTTTTCCAACACATAAGTGACTTAAAATTAGAATCTAATTTCCAGGGCCTTTTCTTTCTCCTCTTACAGTGGACCATCTTTGAAATCCTCTTGACTGATTTATTTGACAACTAGACACAAGTGGTATCAATGGGCATGGCCCACAAAATGTTAATAACACAAACCTATTTTTAAATGTAAATGATTGCTGTAGTTAAAAGGACTCTGGAAATGTTAATTGTAATAAGGTCATACTAACTACAGATTTTTTAACAAGCAAATTAGAAAATAATATGAACTAGCACACAATTATTTATGAAAAATTGAAAATTGACATCCATTAGCAAAAAATTCCCCTAATTTCTAAAACACTACATTTAGAATTGTATAAAAGCAATTGCAAGTGGGAACACTCGCTGCCAAAAACTATGTCTGTGTCCTGTCCTAATTCCCACAACCTGTAATATGCCTTATATGGTCTCATAAGTAAAATGTTTGTTTTCCCCCAAAATTCTTATGTTGATACCTAATCACGAATGTGATGGTATTAGGAACTGGGACCTTTGGGATGTGACTAGGTCATGAGGGTGGAGCCCTCAATAAAAAGATTAGTGCCATTATGAAAGAGGCCTGTGAGAGTCCCCTTGCCTCCTCCGCTGTATAAGAGGACACAAGAGGATGGCCACCTAAGAACCAGGGAGCTGGTTCTCGCCAGGCACTAAATCTGCTGGCGCCTATTTAATCTCCAACTTTGCAGCCTCCAGACAGCCACCCAGTCTCTGGTGTTTTGTTATAGCAGCTCTAACAGACTAAGGCTTATGGCAAAAAGCTGTAATTAAGTTAAGGATCTTGACAGAGTTTATCCTCTATTATCCAGGTGGTCTAGCAAAGCAGTCTCATGTATTCTTATGACATGTGCACTGACCAGCAGTGCCCACGGCGTCATGGATGAGATATGAGACAAATTCACACGGACTGCCGAGTCCTATGGAGGGAAAGGGCCGGCGTGGGTACTCCCTCAAGGGGGGAGGGCCTCCGAAGGGCCTGGCCACCCTCTCAAGGGGAGAGTGGCTTGGAGCGGCCTGGTAACTATCTCTCAAGGAGAGAGAGAGAGTGTGCTGACCCTTGC